TTGCCCCCACTCGCACGATGTTCATACTAAGCATGTGCTCATGCCCCCTCCGTCCTCCTCCCTCGCTCGCTCGCGCTCTCTCTCTCTCTCTCTCTCTCTCTTTCTCTCTTTCCCTTGTCCGCCTTCTCCCTCAGGTCGAGGCCAAGGTTGTTGTTGATGCGCCAGCATTGCAAGCCGCCGGGGCAGCGCAGCGCCGTGCCAGTTGCCGCTCGCTGGAGCGCCTCCTGCGCATGACCGACCCCACGGCCGGACAATCGGTGTCCGACACGCCCGAACCCGCCACATTGGTGGACCTTCCCTCGCTTTTCCATACTCTGTCCCCGGTGTCAGATCCGGTGTCAATCGAGCAGCAACCAGCTCCGAATGTGGTTCCGGGTGACGGGCCCCCCGTGAACGACCCCCCCCGGCCGTTGTCCCTCTCCTTCAGTGGGCTCCTCCGCTCGGCCTCCAAATCGCGCCTGCCCTCTGGCGCGTGTACTCCCCTACCGCCGGCCGAAGGGCAGGGCGCTTCCGCCAGCTTTGCCGGGGTACCGGACGATCGTCCGCCCCTGTCCTCACCCCATTTGCCACCGGCCGCCGCCGCCGCCACCACCGCCGCCGCCATGTCCGGCCCTTTGCCACTTCTTACGCCCAAGGTGGAGCCTTCAACCGGCACGTCGGGCGCCACATCTCCCATGCTCCCGCGTGTGATTCTATCCATCCCCTCATCGCCACTGAAGGGTGCCTTGACATTGTCCCTTTCGCGATCGGCCAGTGTTGGGGATCCGCCCGGCACAGCGCCCCATTCACCGGAGTTGTCTACTTTGCCAACGCTCCCCGCTCTATCGGAGCCCGGGCCCCTGCTTCGGTCAGTGTCCTCGCCCGTGGGTCCGACCGGTGGCATGGACGTGGACCCATCGGGGGGGGCCCCGCTTTCGCCGCTCCTGCCTGGCCTGGCGGTGACCGTCAAGACCGAGGAGGGAATCCAGCGTGCGGCGCCGGCCCTGGAGTCGTTTGGCAGTGAGACGCCCCCGAGCCAGACCCCACGCAAGCTCTCCCTCTCCTTCACATTGCCCAAGGCACCAAGCGCTGACGCCCTCCCAGTGTCATCGCCGCCACCCCTGCCGCCGCCCCCCTCGTCATCCCTGCCTGCCATGGGTGAGGAGCGGCGGCCAGCCAGTGCCACGCCCGGCAGCCCGATGTCCCTGGCATCGACAGCCGGCCGGTCCGGTGCCGGCCCTCAGCCTGGCCCTTCCGCACCGCCTGCCTCGGCTTCGGACCCCTCGCCGGTGTCCAGTCCGGCCCCGCGATTGATCCTGTCATTATCGTCACCGGTGGCGGCAACCGCCCCGGTGGCGCCCGGGGGAGCGGGCTCCCCCTCTCTGGGGCCCATTGTCGCTCCTCCAGCCGTCGCTGCAATGTCCCCTGGACTTGAGGGTCATCCGATGGATGGTGATGATAGCGACGACTTTTCAGATGTCTAGGCCATTGGGTCGTGCTTGCGCATTCCTGTCCCCTGTTCAATCCTCTCTTCCTCTCCCAAGTGAGAGGTGATACATCCAGAAAAATGGGCACTCAAAGTGGGGTTTCCCTTGTTCGGCTGTTTATTTATCTTGGCAGAGGATGTGCACACAGGCATGTCAATGCACAAACACGCATGGCCATAGGCCCTCCCCCCGGCATGGGCATCTAGCTGCTACCACCATCACGCATGGCCAGGGCTGGTGTTCAGGGCCGTCAGGTAGTCAGCCCGGGCCGGGCGCAGGTCACCAGCTGGCTGGACAGAGGCCGCGGCTGCCGAGCTGACATTGTTCACCGTTCGGGCGTGCGCTTCCCACCGGGGAGCGTCCTGGAAGAGGCGAATAGCCTTGATGTAGTTTTTCTCATCGGGCGAGAACCGATGGTAGATGCCGGCCGGCTGGGGGAAGGGGGGGGGGGGGGGGGGAGGGAGGTTTAAGTAAACGTGTTGATTTCCATACATAGCAGGAAATGGCGGGCACGTACAAGCACCAGCAGGTCACCGGGGGTGACTGCAATGCGGATCCAGCGGTCCGCACGGTCACGCACGTCGAAGTAGCCCGACCCCCCGGCACAGAAGCGGATCTCTTCATCATCGTGCAAATGCCTGTGAGTGTGGCCGAGGGGGCGGAGGAAAGGCGAGAGACAGAGGGATGGCAGGGGTTTTAAGCACAGTCAGTAAGAGGACATTTGGCCGGTGCCCCGAGGCGCACGGACAGGACGCACTCTTGGAAGAACACCCCACAAAGAGTCTCATAGTTGGGCATCTTGGTGGGGGAGATCTCCACCTGGTCGCGGTTCTTATAGCCCCGCTCCGAGGCCACCGCATCAAGCTGGGCCAGGTACTCGGACTCCGGGACATCGGAGAGATCGCCCTCCGGCCGAATGGGCGCCAGACGCCAGTATAGCACGCCGATGTCCTTCAAAAAGGCTTGCGCCTCGGGCAGAGGGGCCGACTGGAGCAGGGTCAGTCACCCGGCCAGCGAGGTATGCAAGGACGAGCGAGCACGTACCACATGGGCGAGTCGGGGGTCACCGCCGGGGGCGATATCACTCATGAGCCAAGCCGAAACCATGGTGGTAAATGTGCAGGGAAATGTGCACGACGGACAATAGGGAGGAGAGATGGAGAGGAGGGGACATGTGTGGTAGAGGCAACAACAGGCCCGGCGACGATCTCGTCGCTGGCTGATTTGTCCCCCCCCCCCGCCGGGTTTCGGAGGCAGCCCCCTCTGGCGAGAGAAGCCCACACATGCCGGAAAGCAGGGCGACATGAATCGGCCAAGTGCCCACGTATGACCCACAGCGCTGTCTTGCCCCGAAAGCACGGGGCGGCTCCATCATCAGCAAGCGCCCCCCATGTCCATCTCCCCCTCCCCGCCCCCCTCCTGTTGGTGATCGGTCCACGCTCGGGCCCGATCCTTCTTGCTTCCTGTCTCGCGCCTCCCTCAGGCCCGCCCTCCGACATACGGGCCAGGCATGTCGAAGGGGGACAATGCAGAAGAACACAGGGGTCTCTATTTGCGGGCGATCTCCCAGGGGTGCACAGGAGCAGGATGACGTTTCCCGGGATGGCGAATCTAGGCAGTGGCGGGGGGGGGGGCAAGAAGATGTGGCGCAGCGGCGAACCCGCGTCCGGAGAAGACGACCGCCGCAATACTGTCCCAGTCGCCAAAGGCAGCATACCGGCGTTCCAGAGTACGACGGCACTCAATCTCCACAAAGCCGCCAAACCGACCAGCCTCCTGATGCTCGATCATGCGCCCGCAAACGATGTTGTAGGGGATACCCGAGGCCATTGAGCGGTTGAATTGGAAGCTGTGTGTGTGTGTGTGCGTGCATATGTCGAAATAGGATCAGTCGGACGTGTACCGGCATGGTGAAGGGAGTGGAGGCAGAGAGACATCGTACCCAATGCGCTGACCCGAGTCATCAAGGATGGCGCCACCATAGAGGGCTGATCCGCCACGAGGGCCAAGCATATCGTAGAGGTGGTTGGCAGCCTCCTGATTGGCCTCGGTGGAAATGATCGTCGCCCGGAAGGGGGCCACCTCCTCAGGCCACACGAAGCCCTTGGCGTCGTGATTCACCTCGGCAATAGCCGCCAGTAGGCGCGTGGCGCCGAGACCATAGCAGCCCATGAAGGCGAATTTCTCCGACGCGCCGAGGTCCAGCTTGACGGTGGGTCAGTGCTCAGAAGCCGACACACAGCTCGACAGAACGAAGTGGGCAGAAAGAGGAAGGGAACAAAAGGAAAGGGCACGAAAGTGGGGAAAGCGGCCGGCTTCACGCACCGGTGCCGAATAGGTTGTTCCTAGGTAGAAGGCATGACCAACTTCGATGCCACGGCGATGGCCAAGTACACCCGTGCCGCAGCAAGCACACTGGTCTCCCGGGCTGGCGATGGCCAGATCGCCAATCACCAGCGGGGCGCCGTCCCCCTTCTCCGACTCGGCAGCCTGCGTATCATCACCGATCAAGACATTACGGTCCACCAGAATGGGGAACGTATCGCGCCCGTAGCGGGTGATGAGAGTCGACCAGAAGGTATCATGCTGGCCAACAACCTCGGCATTGTTGACATTGAGGGTGGTCTGTTGAGGGGAGTGGTTATGATTAGCAGGCGTGGTGGGGGGAGTGCGATTGCACTGGGCGGGTGAAGCCCAGGAAAGGGAGGGGAGGGGGGGGGGAAGAGGGACAGACAGGGGAAAGGGCGACGCACATTAACACGCAGGGGATTGATCTCGTCTTCCTTCAGATGAATAACCAGCGCGGC